AGTATCTAATACAATTTTCTCAAACTTGCATTATTAGTAGTCCCCGCGATAGGAAATGAAACTTACTCGAATTATTGAAAAAGTTATTTATACAATTTTTTCCCATTTGTAAAAGTACTGAATAATGACGTACGATTCCAGAGTAATTAATGATTCTATCAAGTTAATTAATTAATGACGATTCCAGAGTAATTTCTCATAAATTATTTATCTTCCAATTGAATTCTCGACGTCTTATCCGCATCTTATGCACACATATTAACATAGATAACATTAAGGGAAATCATGTTCTCATGTCACATGAGAATAAAAATTTTTTTTACACAGATTCATTTTTGTGCCAATTAATTTTTCTTTTCTTTTATAATATAAAATGTGAGACCCACATTTAATTTCTCTCTACTTTTTTTATCTCATGCAATCCTACGAGAAAATATGAACCCTAACATTAATCAATACATGATAAGATCCAAGTACTGAATTTCGGCTGCACCAAATTACATCTTCATCTGTTGGCTATCTACGTGTTGCCTTTTAACCCTTGAAGTGGTTTGAGCTCCCACCGTCTCAAACCCTGGTTCCGTGCTCAACGCCTCAACGATTCTCTTTAGTCTTACCTATAAACAACAAGCGTAGTTGGAGGATGGAGCACTAAAAAACGTATCATTTTTTGTCGCTTTAGTGAGCAGTGAGCATTGGCAAGAACAAGTTGTGTGGTCCTATAACAAGTGAAGTCCTAGACAACAACAATTGACTAGGGGTGAAACTGGGCCGGGCCAGCCTACAGCTCGGCTTACATCAGGTTAGATCTGACCTAGTATATTTTGTATAATAAGCCGGGTTCGGGCCTTAAAAAAGTCTGTTTAATAAAAAAGTCGGGCCTATAAGTCTACAGCCTATATTGTACTATTTATTTTAAATAAAATAAAATAAAATAGAGTAAATATGCCTTGAAGAAAAAAAATATATATAAATTTAACCAATTGCAATTATTTATAACTTAATCATATTCGATTATATTTTAATAAAAATTTTACTTTATTTCTTATATAAGAGGAACCAACATCTCAACATGTTAGATTGTGTATATGAATATATTAAAAGATTTTTGGCAGAGGTTATACTTACTACAAGCATCATGATGTGTTTGTTGGATTTGTATAGTTATTTTAATTTACATAATATGGATTTGTTTGTTGGATCTGATGAAATATATGTTATTTAATTTGAGCATTTTGCTTTTGAAAATAACTTAAATGCATATTGTATTAGTTTTGTTATGATTTATGATTCTATTTGGACGTTGAAATTATGATTTTTAGTGTAGCAACAGAATTGGAGTACTTTGTAAAGTTGATTCATAGTTCTGATTGGAAATTAAAAATTAACAGGCTAACGGGCCAAGACAGGCCATTTGTTTTTTTCATAAACAGATTAAACCAGGCTAACAGTTAGACTCATACTAGACTTGGGCCGGGCCAAATTGAAATTTTTTGACATAAGCTTGAGCTTTTCGGGACAAAACTCGTCCCAGCCTAGTCCACTTTTTCCCCTACAATTGACAGACGTTTACATACCTGATTCGTCTCAGTTATGGTGGGATGGAACAGTTACACACACTCAAAACAAAAATAAAAATAAAAAAGGAAGAAAGGATGGAGATACAAATTTGAACTTGTTCACCTAACGTAGGTTATATATAGTTATATTTTTTGCAATACTCTCCTCGCCGTTACAAAGCAATATAAAGAGATGTAAAAACTCTAAATAACAGTAATTATTAATGGATTCAAATTCCAACAACTAAAAGAGAGAAAAAAAGATTTCGAGACTCATAATAATATCAGGGCTCTTACTGCAGGGGCGCTATCTTGCACTTTTGTTGATTTTTTTGACATACCACGTCATCTGATATATCAGTCATATCCAACAAGTTATAGGATGAAAAATAAAAAACAAAAACAATACGAGTCAAATTGAACCGATCTGTTTACTTCCCTATTCACAGTCCTTAACGTAGATTCCGTTTAGATAATACTGAATTTCTTAAGAGCGTGTATTTTTAGAATACACCCTGTTTTCAGCTCTTAAATGGATGAAGAAAGTTGGAAGAGTTATCATTTTGTCACACTTGGCAAAAAAAATTACCTGACTGTCACGCTAACAGTAAATTAGGATCAAAAGTCCTTTTTGCGGTAGGGTTTGTCTCCTCATATATATGTCGTTTTAGCAATTTCAGGGCGCGCGAGGTAGCCTTCAATCTGTGGCTTCGTGCTATGCCGCGCGTGTTCACTATGGATCGGAGATAAAATTTTTCGATTCCCATATACGGTGCCAATGTTTGGTCCTAGAGAACCGTATTACTATATCGTATGGTATGCGCTCAGAGATACCCTAGAGATAAGTATCTAGATTGACTTATAGTCAATACTCCAATAACTGCGCACAAGCAATAGGCTTATAGCTAAGACGTGAATGTGTGCACAGTGTTGGCAGTAATAGTAAATAGGTCAGAAGTGTGTACCTCAAGTCTTTAGCCTCTTATTTATAAGGATTACCTTCGTAGGTTTGAGCCTTTGAAATCTCTCAGTTGATATGAAATTTGCCTTGATTGATGGGAATATGGATCTATCCCTTGATCCTCTCTAGATTATACAGTTGAGATATCCCTATACAACTTTCTAGTAATAGGATTGTTAGGATATGGATCTAGTCGATAACACTTATAATATCCATTAATTTTGTAAAGAAACATAAGGTATCACAAATATTTATATTAAATTCACTAAAATAGTAATCAGGCCTTTTGACCCCAGTAATGTCTTTTTTAATAAGTTTGTCCGGAATAATTTTTGTATTAATAGTATTACCATTATAATGCAAAACGACGCGATATATGTGCAATCGAGTTAAGACACGACATGATCGGTAACGCGTCCCTTACATTTTCAAACATCTACTGTGTGAGAATGAAAGTTCCATTTAATGTTTAATGGATGCGGTACACACAGAGACACTTCACTTGCAATTTTCAGACCCCCGCTGCGTTAGAATGAGTGTTGTATTGAATGAGTAAGGACGCGGTACACAGACAGCCGCATTTCTCAGTGTCGGTTGCGGTCCTGGTGGAAACGTGTCTAAGCAAACCTGATCTATTGGATTGTCACTTATAAAACTGAGTAGTCACTTATACTTTCATTTTCCAGGTGGCTCTGATTTCATATTACAAGTAAGTATTAAATTAAATTTTAATTATTTAATTTGATCAAGCTTTAGGGTAGCCCAAAATTATTTATAGAATTTATGGAGATCGTAAATTAGTGGACTTATTTTTCATTGATGATATTTTAAAGTTTTTTAATGTTACTATTTTTTTGTTGTTAAAACCTTAGGTTAGTTAATTTAAATTTTAGTAATACTTAATTTATATTTATTAAATGGTATAAGGTCAAATATTTTAGTAATACAAAAATTTTAAATAATACTTACTTGGGATATAAGGTCAAATACACTAACTAAATGGTAGTAGCTTAGTTGGCGTAAAAAAATTAAGCAGGAAGTGAGCTAAGCAATGAACCAATCGAAATATTTTCAAAAAAAAATAAATCACAAGTGAGTGAGTGTGGATTTTTAGCTTCTGACAAAGTGGAAAAAATATTAGGACCAATGAAATCACAAATGAGTGGAGTTTTAGATTCTGATTCAATGAAAAAAAATAGCGGGACCACTCTCACACGGACAAAATAGCCACAAAAATTTCACTCTCACTAGCCCAAAATGTTTCTTAAGCAAACACGTTTACACTCACTGGAAAAATAAATTAGCTCTCGGACACAAAGGAATGGGACATTCTTAAGCTGATGGAGGAGAGTCGTAAGTAGGTGCTATAAGGCTTCCAAGACGCGGCACGCACACAACCGCTTTCCAAACGTGATGGTCAACAGACCGCGTCCCGTGCAGACGCGATCCAAAGGCGACAATCCATAAACCGCGTCTTTACTCATTCAGTGCAACACTCATTCTAACGCAGTGGGTGTCTGAAAATTGCAAGTGACTTGTCTCTGTGTGTACCGCGTCCATTACACATTAAATGCAAATCTCATTCTCAGAGAATCGATGTTTGAAAATGTAAGGGACGCGTTACCGATCATGTCGTGTCTTAGCTCGATTGCACATATATCGCGTCGTTTTACATTATAATGATAATACTATTGACACAAAAATTATTTCGGACAAACTTATTAAAAAAGACATTACTGGGGTCAAAAGCCCTAGTAATCATGTTGGAACTAAAAACGCAAAAGTAACCTTTTAACCCTTTTTTAAATCTCTGCAATGCTTGTTAGAGTGTCGGAGTATCAAAAAGTGTCCGACATAATACGTCGAGTTTTTTGAAGTATTGGTGCATCATAAATTCCAATTACTTTTCTGATAAAAAAAGTTAATAACTTTAGTTATACAGAATGGTTATATTTCCAAATTCAAAATTTACAAATTTTTACAAATTATATTGTGTACTATGAGTAGTATATATTACTTAAGCATGTACTACTAATAGTACATAGTGTAGTTTGTAAAAGTTTGTAAGCTCTGAGGTTGTAAATATAACTTACCGTTGTTGTCAAAAAAAAAATATATATATATATAACTTACCGTTAGTTATATATCATTTTCTTATATAATAATGTACAAATATTAAACTCCTAAAAAAATATGGTAAGCGGATTTTAGGACGAGGAACCAATTATCTGCGACACTGACAGCGACTGACAAGTGGTCCAAACACGAGTGAATGTGCCGCATTCCTTCTTCTTTTTTAATTTTCAAAACCGCGTTACACAGCCTCTGGTTTCTCCCAAACCAAGTTTGTTGCCGGTTGTATTTACCCACTCGACTCTAGCACCTGGTATCTTTAACCTTCCCTATAAATAAGAGCTACCATTCTTCCTTTTTCTCCAGCAAACAACAACAACACTTCTTGAAAGCATTCAGTGTTCCCAACTTAACAACGCTACATCTTAACTTATTAGTTATACAAGATGAGTGGTGCAACAAGCAAAGCTTGGATAGTGGCTGCCAGTGTTGGAGCTGTGGAGGCTTTGAAGGACCAGCTGGGTGTGTGCAGGTGGAACTATGTTTTAAGGACTGCCCAGCAACACCTGAAAGCCAATGTTAGATCCTTGTCTCAAGCAAAAAATCTCTCTTCTTCTTCTTCTCTTGCTGCTACTAAATTAAAGGATGAGAAGGCCAAACAAGCAGAGGAGTCCTTAAGGACGGTCATGTACTTAAGCTGCTGGGGTCCCAACTAAACTGAAGAGGAAAACCAGCATATGTAAATTTGAAAATAATATATGCTTTATATAAATATTGATTGTAGATTATGCAAAAAATTTAATGAAGGACAATATTATTCAATGAAGAAAGTGTCTTCATAGTATATGTTTGTGTTTCTCTGTGGTTGAGAACTGCGAATACATATATGTATCTAAATCAACGAAAATCCCAAGTCATAAGCTTGTTATATTAATATAAAATTATTTACAGCGACTTTATCTAAAGTATTGGAGTGTTGGTGTATAACACACATTGTGTTTAGTCCTTGGATTTCAGAATTTGAAGTGTGGAGATAGAGAACTACTTTTTTTCAATAACCTGAATGAATCAATTCCAACTGGAGGCCATATTTTCAATTTGTACGAAAGGGCTGATTAAAACACTCAACCAGAAATGTCGGTATAACATATTTCCTTCCGCAAATCACTAGTGTTTCGATAAAGGAAACTGCAAATTTATTTCAGTGATAATATATAACGAGTATTTTTAAACTTATTTCTTGTTTTGACCATTTATATATTGTTTTTTTAGTGACTTATAGAAAGTATGACTCGTCATACTTTGTATAAATCTGAAAAGTTTTTTTTTTTACACGTCAGCGATGTGACTGTAGAGAGAGAAAAAAAAATAACTTTTTAGATTTACACAAAATATGACTAGTCAAAAACTCAAACTTGTGTCATTCAAAAGAAAAGTTCTTTTTTCCTTCATATATTTGTATGGATTTTATTTTAAGTCAAATTCATGGAAATGTTGTACTGAGTAGCATTATAAATTCTTTCATTTTGACATGAAATGGAGCTGTGTTATGTTTATGTTAATTGCATAATATAGATTCCCATATTTTTGTGCATTTGTTTGTATGACAGAAGTAAAACATAAGTATAAATGTCTAATACTGTTAGAAATATTTGTGTTTTAACTTTTAAGTCAATTATTTTTCTAGTAAATAGAAAATTGTACAGCATAATAAAATATTAATATCAGCTAACATCCTTGATGTGCTACCGTAACTACACAGGCTACTTTCTTTCTTTCATTCTCGGTACATATTATGGCTAAGGTTGAGATTTTAGTGCCTTGGAAAACGTTAACAAGAAAACCAGCGGTTTCAATTGCTTCCCACAAACCTGGGTCTAAGGCTGGTTGATTTTAAAAGATGTATTGTAAACTGTGTGCCCACGTTGTCTTCATCTCAAACAGGAATCTCTACGTGTAACTTAAGCAATGCAACTGGGTGGCACCGTGGCACATAAGTGACAGACATGTGGCCATGCTATGCAATAGAGGCTAGTTTTTTTTTTTTAAAAAAACATGCTATTTGTTTGCATCCCAAGCTTCTCTATCTAAGTACCAACACTCCATTTGCTTCATCAAGTAATTTTATTAATTTCATGTTAAAGAAGATAAGTTATCTCATGCCATAAAGATAAATTTGTGAGCTTCACCACCTAAAAAAAAAATAAAAAAAAATAACACAATTATCGAAAAATGTGTAGGAAAAAAACTTATCATATATAACATGAGAATAGTTTTTCTCAATAACATAAATCCATTTACTATAACTAATACTTGTCTTCCATTATCTAAAAAGTTTCAAGGGCAAGAATTTTGAGAGGAGCAGTTTATATACTATTGAGATATATCATGTGAAACAATTATTCTGTTGATACAGCACACACGTGTATTATACTCTTTATGTTAGTTTGTTAGAAATCAGTTCTAACTAACTTAGTTGGGTTTTAGTTCTTAATTGTTGTTAGCTTGAGAATATATATATATATATATATATATATATATATATATATATATATATATATATACAAGTTATAAATTAAAGAATGAATATTCTTTCTCATCAAGACAATCACTCTTCGCATGAGTTCTTTAGATTCTGTTATGGTATCAGAGCTATGATATCGCTGAGATACGATAGATTTTCTTTTCCTTCGTTTTTCTCGAAGTTCTCTGTCTCTCTGAGATGATTTCTTAGCAGTTTTCTTTGCATTTCATCTCTGTTTTTCATTATCGAACCAGAACCCTCTTCCAGATTATCTTTCTAATCCATCAAACTCGTTATACCTTCATCCTAATGAGAATTCGTCCATGGCTCTCGTTGCTCCTCCTCTCACTGGTCGTAACTACCACTCTTGGTTGCGCGCCATGAAAATGGCACACTGCTCTCGAAGAACAAGATGTGCTTCGTAGATGGAAGCTTCATTGCACCAGATGTTCATGATCCTCTCTATCCAGCTTGGGAGAGATGCAACACTATGGTGTTTTCTTGGATTCACCGCTCCATTGATGAGTCAATTTCCAAATCCATTTTATGGATCGAACGAGCTTCTGATGTATGGCGCGATCTTCGTGGGCATTTTTCACAATCTGACGTCTTCATAATTGCAGATCTACAAGAAGATATTCATCAATTGCAACAGGGAGATAGATCCGTGAGTGATTATTTCACGGAGATGAAGACACTATAGGGTGAATTGGATAACTTCAATCCACTTTCGAGTTGCTACTGTGGAGCTCTAGATGAAATAAGGCGAAATAGGGAGCGTGATCAGGTCATTCGTTTTCTGAAAGGTCTCAGTGACCAATACTTTTACATACGATCACAAATCATGCTGATTGAGCCGCGTCCAAACATGAACAAAGCATACTCACTTGTTGCACAGTAGGAACATCAATTGAACTATGAAATCCATAGTGACTTTGCTATAGAGTCAAAGGCATATTCTGCTGATCAGCGTCGTACTCGTAATGGAAGTTTTGGCAGAGGCAGAGGTATAAAGCCTAGAGGTACCAAACTTTGTACCTATTGTGGAAGGACTAACCATACAATGGATACATGCTATGCAAAGCATGGATATCCACCAGGATACAAGCCAAAGCCTAAAAATGTCTCTACTAATGCTGTTTTGAACGATGAAGCAACAATGACAAACAAAAAAGACACAGTGGTCCTTTCACAGCAACAATACAAAAACATGATGGAGATACTTTAGCAAGTAAAGATTCAGAATGGAGTAGAAAGCTCCAATGTTGCTGTCAATATGATTCATACTACATCATCCACTGCCTTTGCTACTCCTGCTGGTTCTCAAATTTCTGGTAAGGAATCTTTTCATTGGAAGCTTGACACAGGTGCAATAGATCACATATCATGTGAATCATCAAACTTTGTTAATTTGCATGAGATCAAACCTATCTCTATCACATTACCTAATGGTTTTAAGGTAATTGCACATCAGTCAGGTTCCATTGAACTGTGTCCAAACTTATTTTTAACTGGTGTGTTATATGTACCAGAATTTTGCGTTAATTTGATATCAGCGATAAAGCTGGTACAATTTCTTGATTGTGAGCTCATCTTCCGTGATTGTACATGTTGTATTAAGCAGATCAAGTCACAACGAGTGATTGGTACAGCTAGATTGTGCAATGGACTTTTCCTTTTGGAGTCATGCAACAGGAAGAATAAAGAGATGAATGGTGTTGCTCGTGACTATGCTTCTGCAAATAATACTGTTACAGATGACTCTATACTATGGCATCTAAGATTATGACATACTTCTGATTCAGTAATCAAAGTAATGTGTACTAAGTTTCCTTTCATTCCTCAAAATAAACAATGTACTCCTTGTGATGTATGCCATATGGCAAAACAAAATAGACTCCCATATAATTTGAGTAATATTGTTTCTTCTAAAGCCTTTGATCTTATTCATGTAGACATTTTGGGGCCACTTTCCACCACTTCTTTTACTGGACATAAGTACTTTCTGACTGTGGTAGATGATTTTTCAAAATTTACTTGGCTGCTTTTGATGAAAAACAAGGGAGAAGCTCGAGGTCACTTGAAAAGTTTTGTGGCACTGATTGAAAATCAATTTGATACACATGTCAAAATAACTAGGAGTGATAATGGGGCTGAATTTTTGATGCCTGAATTTTATTCTCACAAAGGGATCATCCATTAAACCTCTTGTGTAGAATGTCCACAGCAAAATGGTGTAGTATAGAGAAAACACCAGCATCTTCTTAACACAGCCAGGGAATTAATGTTCCAGTCCAATCTACCTCTTCAATTCTGGTCATTTTCAATATTGCATGTTGTCCATCTGATTAATAGGTTGAACAATCCTACCTTAAAGAATAGCTCCTCTTATGAACTGTTGTATAGCACTCCACCCATTCTGATTCACTTAAGGGTGTTTGGTTGCCTTTGTTTTGCTAGCACCCTTGCATCCCACAAGAAAAAATTTAGTCCTCGTGCTAGAAAGTGCACTTTCCTTGGCTACAGAGAAGGAACAAAGGGATATGTATTATATGATTTGACTTCTCGAGAGGTATTCCTATCTCGAAATGTAATTTTTCATGAAAGTGCTTTTCCATTTTCTACACATGTGAATGAATCTGATTTTACCTCATCTATCCCTATGGCTACTAGTCATTTAACTGATGACCCATTTGTCATTATAAACTCCCATCCAAATGTCAGCCCACCTACTTCACCAAACCTATCTTTTCACATTGATGAACCCACTATAACCTCTCCTGTCACACCTAATGGCCATACCCGTGACCTTACAATAGCTCCATTTAGTGACCCACCCTTACCATACCCTACAACATCTCCCTCTACTGATCATCCTTTATTACATCACACACCTGACCAAGCCAATGTACCCAGAAGATCTAACCAAACTAAGCAACCTCCCATTTACCTAAAGGATTTTCACTGCTCTCTCTCTTCACAATCAGCATATCCTTTGTCTTCGGTTTTGAGTTATGACAATTGTTCTCCTCAACACCAGACATTATGTTTCAATCTTTATTCCATAGTTGAACCTCAATTATTCTCAGAAGCAGTAAAAGAGCAATGCTGGCGTGATGCAATGAATACTGCAATTTCAGCTTTGGAACAAAACAATACATTGTCCCTTACTGATTTTCCTCCTGGTAAGCATCCTATAGGATGTAACTGGGTATATAAAGTCAAATACTATGCTGATGGGAGTGTTGAGCGTTACAAAGCCCGCCTAGCTGCAAAGGGTTATACCCAACTTGAAGGGGTGGACTTCCTAGATACATTCTCACCTGTTGCAAAAATCACAACCATTCGTACATTCCTTGGCGTTGCTGCATCAAAGGGGTGGATCTTGGAATAGTTGGATGTTAACAACGCCTTCCTCCATGGTGAGTTGAGTGAGGAAGTTTACATGACTTTGCCACCTGGAATTAGTTGTTCAAAGCCTAACCAGGTCTGTAGACTACAAAAGTCTTTATATGGATTAAAACAAGCTAGTAGACAATGGTACTCCAAGCTCACTTCTGCATTGCTGTCTATTGGCTACAAACAATCTGAAGCAGATCATTCTCTTCTGATTAAGAAAAAGCAAAATTCATTTACAACACATTTGATTTATGTTGATGATGTAGTATTGGCTGGTAATGACATGCAGGAGATCATCTCTGTCAAGCAATTTCTTGATAGTCAATTTCACATCAAGGATTTAGGAGAATTACACTATTTCCTTGGTTTAGAAATCATTCGTTCCAAAGAAGGGTTGGTAATGAATCAAAGAAAATATGCTTTAGAGTTAGTAGCTGATGGTGGTCTTTTGGGAGCTAAGCCTGTTTCAACTCCTATGGATTTAGGGTTAAATTAGAACGAGACAAAGGAGAACCTTGCTTGGATGCTGGAAGCTATAGACGTCTAGTGGGAAGATTGTTGTATTTGACAATAACTAGACCAGATATTTGTTATACAGTCCAACAATTAAGTCAATATGTCAGTTGTCCTACAGAACTCCACATGCAGGCTGCCCTCAGAGTGCTTAAGTATCTTAAAGGAACCCCTGGTCGTGGTCTTTTTTTTGCAGCTGACAGTGAACTCAAACTTAGTAACTTTGCAGACTCCGATTGGGCAACATGTCCAGACACTAGGCTTCCATCACTAGGTATTGTATTTTTCTCGGCTCTTCGTTAGTTGGATGGAGATCCAAGAAGCAAAGCACAGTCTCCAGATCATCCTCATAGGAAGAGTATAGAGCCTTGGCAAGTTTGACGTGTGAATTGCAATGGATGAAATATATGCTCACTGATTTAGATGTTGAAATGACAAAGCCAATGGCAATATTTTGTGATAATCGCTCAGCAATCTATTTGGCACATAATCCTAGTTTCTATGAAAGATCAAAACATATAGAAATAGATTGTCACATTGTTAGAGAAGAGATTAATAGTGATTTGATTCATCGGTTGCCTGTGTCTTCAGCAGAACAATTGGCTAATTCTTTTACTAAAGCATTACCTCCTCATAACTTGAAAGGGCTTGTTGACAAGTTAGGTCTTATGGATATCCATATGCCAACTTGAGAGGGGATATCGAGATATGTCATGTGAATCAATTATTCTGCTTATACAGCACACACGTGTATTTTACTCTTTCTGTTAGTTTGTTAGAAATCAGTTGTAACTAACTTAGTTGGGTTTTAGTTCTTAGTTGTTTTTAGCTTGAGTATATATATATCTATCATATCAGAAGTTACAAATTAATGAATGAGTATTCTTTCTCTTGAAGACAATCACTCTTCGCATGAGTTCTTTGGATTCTGTTATATATAAGAATGAGTTTAGTAACAGAGCTTGGATTGTAGCGGCTAGTGTTGGAGTTGTGGAGGCCTTGAAGGACCAGGGCATCTGCAGATGGAATTCAGCTTTCAAATCAGTTCAACAACATGTGAAAAGCCATGTTAGATCTTTGTCACAGGCAACGAAGCTTTCTTCTTCAACTATGGTTTCTAGTAGATTAAAGGATGAGAAGGGAAAGTTGTCAGAAGGATCCTTAAGGACAGTAATGTATTTAAGCTGCTGGAGTCCCAACTAAAGGAGAAAGACAATGGAGAAAACAATTTTGATCTTTGAGTTTAGGCCACTGAGACCGAGATTTCTCATGTCATATTGGCTTGTATTGATTCTTGTATATTAATAACATGATTAATTATAATGAATAGAAGTTACGAAGTCAGGTTTTTACAAATTACAAATACGTCCATCAGTTGTCTTGTTCATCTACATTTTTATTTTTATTTTGTGAATTTTGTATACGATCAAATGATTTTCAATTCCATAAAGAAAATTGATTAGAATTCAACCTAATCATATGCACACAGAAGATGAAGAATAGTTATCGGATCAAGGAATTATGAAAGTGTTTAGCATGATAAAAAAAAATGTCACCTCTGTCATTATTTTTTTTTTCCAGTACAATCCTCTGTGATTACTTTATTTTAGCTTTATGATGAGTTGAATGCAATACAATATTACAATGTCTCTGCCCTCTTTTTTACTACAAGGTCGTGTTCGAAAAAACAGTTTAAAAAATAACAAAACAAAAAACCCTTATTTCATTGCTTATTCTGTAAAACTAAGTTTTTAAAACAGGATAAAAAAATTAATTTATTGCTTTTTAAATAAAAAATTATAAATTTATGACTGTTTTGAAAATATTTACGCATCTATTGCATAATGTCACGCCTAAATTGGGTGTCACATGTTACGCCTCATTTAGGCGTGACTCCCTAAACATGCCTAATACGGGCGTGATCACTCACGCCCAAAATGGGCATGAGTCATTCAGCCTAATTTTGTTTTTTCTTTCTGTATTATTAAACGGGTGAGTTTTTGGCTCAGTTTCCTTCTGATGTTCTTAACCCATGGTTGTTGATTTAATTTCTTTTAATCTCATTATCTGTACCCATTTTCGTTTTCTTCTCTTGTTCTTAAGAGGGTGTGTGTAAATCTGAAAGAACACGGATGGAAAATTTATTTCAATCGTTAAGAGACAAAATCATAGATCCCAATTGGACACCTATGCTTAAAGGGATATAATTAATTCATGGCACTAAAAATAAACCAATCTCTAATGTTGAGTAGGACTTATGTTATCCTTGACAGAAACTCACTTGATCCTGATTCAAATTCTTCAATTATTAGTGGACAATTGCATCTCTATGGTTTACTTCGGATTCTTCAATTCTTCAAGCGACTATAGTGTCTTCTCATCATGTAAAACACTTTCCTGTTCCCACTGGCTTATGGTAGTGCCTCCGATCGCACAAGGGACCAAACCCACCACACCAAAATCGGGTATTTTTGTCCAAGACCAAATTTGCAAATGCCATCCCTGGCCCAATCCCATTTGTCTTCTTGAGTGGGGAAGACACTATAGTCCGAAGTCGGAACTCATTCTGCAGGTGTGCTCACTCACAAAGCACTTCATTGGGTCAGTAAACTCGTTCTGCAGAACAACTTCATAAGGGTACTTGACCAGCGACAAGTAGTGGAACCAAAAGAAAAAGGAAAAACAGAAAAAGAAAACTATAACAATAAAAAACAGAGATGAAGAGGGGAGGGAGAAACAATCGTTTTTTACATGAAAACAAAGGAGTTTTTTAAGGGGAATAAATGGTCACTAAATCATTATCTCATTCCCATTTTTTCTATCCCTATGTCTCGCCCAACTGAGGCATAATTGCCTTTTGAATCACGCCTAATCTAGGCGTGAGTGATCATTTGCCAAGTTCAAATTAATCACGCCTAACTTAGGCGTGAGTGTCTTGTGGGTTACGCCCAACTTAGGCGTGAGTGGTCACGCCTAATCAGGGCGTGACACACTACAATACAGGTGTAAATAATTTCAAAACAACAATAAATTTGTAATTTTTTATTTAAATTGCAATTAATTAAATTTTTTGCCAAAAGTTCCAAGTTTTGTTCTACTTGAAAAAAATATGGCAAAACAATAAATAACTTCAACAATATTGAAAGTGTTACATAATAATATAAATATAAGTTCGATTATTACCGTTTTCTATTTTTTTTTTGGAATTTTTTAGCACAGGTTGGTAGCCATGTGCATTATCCATTTTTCATGCCCAATAAACTCTAGTGTGATGGAGTGTATTAAAAAAGTATATAAATTATTGATGGGACTTCACTTAACAACTTAAGATTTTAGGTTAAATTAGTTCTTTTTATGGTATCAAAGATTCAATGATCATAAGGTTACAAGTTCGATTTCACTGCCACCTTCTTAGTGGAGTTAAATAATCATAAAGGTAAACAAAAAATTTGATTTGTGCAATATTCACGCTTCAAATCCAAAAAACTCTTGCGTAAAAGAATGTGTTAGAAAATATATAAAGCATTAAAAAGTTAGGCCCCACCTAACAGCTTAAGCTTTGAGGTTGAATTGATTAAAGTTACCTTATACTCCTTCTTTCCCGTTACATCTAATAACCTTCTTCCTTTAGGAGGTATTTGATAGGAGGATTATATTTGGTAATATATTAGAGACAATATTCTCGGAATTACATTTTGTGTGTATTTTCTAAATCAAAATACCATGAAAAATATCATCTATAGGGTGGTATTTTAGGAATCTCAAACGATGAAAAAATATGGATTAATTTTTCAGATAAAAATAACCAAATATAATATCAAAAAAAGTAATTCAATATTTCCGATAATATTTTGGCCTACCAAATAATTTTTTGATAACATTTTGAAAAAATTTATCTTTTTATCATATTTTCAAAAATCGTGATTCTCAAATAAAAAAAATTCATTTACCAAGCAGCGAACGCCCATTATATATATATTTTTTCTAATGCCCTAAATCTTTGCATAACCCTTTTTTTAACGGAATATGCAATCATTAAAGAACCCAATATACTTGTTTAAAAATTTTAAATTATAAAAAATTTAATAAAATTATTTATAGAATGATTTTAGCCTACATATTTGTGTGTGTAAATAAAATTATTTTAATCACATTTATTTGAGGTAGACTTATACGGAGTGAGTATGCAATTAACTTTATTTCGAAATAAATCCACCCAAAAACCATGTCCCCAAAACCATTAGCAATCGCTATCAGCCCTTGGTTTTTTCCAATGTTTGGGTGTTTCTTTTGCCTAGTAATTTGCGCTTCTATAGATTCCCATGTATAATAAGTTAATAACCACCCTCACTGCACCTGCCTCATCAAAATCTCATTTTCCCACTAATTAAGTTAATGATAATAATAGTCTAACGTTATGTTAAAATATTTGACTAGTGAGTGCGACACTTACTGTGATAAAGACACGTGGTCCTAAAACTGAGGATACATTGAACATGATTCCCAAACTCAAATACAACAAAACCATTGGCTTCCCAAAAACCAGTAGCTAGCTATAGCTTTATGCCTGTGGTTTTTCCAAACTTTTGTCCGTTTCCTTAGTTTAGAAACCTTGACACATCAAGCGCTTCCTGCTATATAAGAGCACCTTCCCTTCATTTGCTTCATCAATCCAAAATATTGCTAGAGATTTCTTCTATATTCCCCTCTAAATCACACTACAATTATCAACTACATACTTGGGTTATTTTTTGTGATCTGTAAAGCAAAGCAAAGCAAGTTGTTTCAAAAAGATTATTGCATTATGAGTTCAGCAAGCAAAGCTTGGACTGTGGCAGCAAGTGTTGGAGTTGTGGAGGCCTTGAAGGACCAGGGCTTGTGCAGGTGGAATCATGCTTTAAGATCAGCTCAACATCATGTCAAAAACCATGTGAGATCTTTTTCTCAAACAAAGAAGCTTTCTTCATCCTCTTCTGCTATGGTTTCCAACACAATAAGGGAAGAGGAGGCAAAGCACTCAGAGGAATCCTTGAGGAAAGTCATGTACTTGAGTTGTTGGGGTCCCAACTAGAGCCACCAGGGCAATTGGAAAAAAATTTGTATTTGATTGAACCTTAGTCACAAGGGAAAGCCCATAATGAGATATATGGGGTCATGTTGACCTTTGATGGTGCTTGTTTAGTATCCAAAATTGCTTTTTACACTGTGACATATATTGATGTAAATTTTGACAAATGAAAGATGGAAGTGTTAATCTATGATCCAAATTTTGTATGCGCTCTTTACCATTTTTCACTCTCATATGGCTAATGCTGCCTCTCAGGGTGAAACATCAATTCCTATTATCATTTCTCTGCTTAAACTTACTTGATTTCAGAAGAAAGAGATTCAGGGGAGGATGGCAGCAAGAATTTCCTGTTTTAACAATTTGATTTAAATCGATGCGCATAAAGAAGTTAATAACCATTGAGTCAAGTGGTATGGAATTTGTTTTCAAAGATATGGAGTTTGAGTTCTAAGAATGAAAAACATAATCTATTCCTATAATTGATTTGACAATATTCAAATAGGACTAATCGTGTAATTGATCGAGGCACTTAAAAAATCAATAATTATTAGTTCAAATAATAGGAAATTTGTTTTCAAAGGTTTGGAATTGAACTCTAAGAATGGAAAAAATGATCTTAGATATGACGATGCTCGCCAAGATTAATCGCATAACTGGTGGAAAAATGCATAAAATGGAAGACCAATATAATCACAGTAGTAAGGCTATCGAGAGTATTACAAAAAAAGCGAACTGATACTAGTGTTTATTTTACATGATATATGTTGGAATAGAAGATTCTATATGTTGTTATGATTTGCTGTGATATGTTGTAACCTGTAGTTTGTTAGGATATGTATAACCGAGTCCTATTGTAATTAGGTGTAGTCAAACAATTGATAAAGACATGATAGTATAACTTATCTTATTCTATTCTTCTTATCAGGTGCACCAAACTAGCCTTCAAAGGATCAATTTTCACTAAGCTATTTTGAAGAGTTATCAGTGAATGTTCTAATAATTTTGGTTTATCATGCTCTAAATGTGTTTTTAAATAATATAAGCGTCCATTACAAATTTCTGTAGGCAATTGCTTGGAGTTCCGTTTAAAAAGAGAGTAAATATCATTTTCGGTACTCATTAAATTTTACGATGTCCGCTTTAGTCCTTAGTAAATAAGCAAATAAAAAAATTATTCGTGGTCCTAAAAAATTTAAAATTGACCTATTTTAGTTCTTTTGAGGGATTAATATGGGTCTTTTTTTAATTTATGAGGGACCACGATTTCAACTGAGTCCATTTTGAATTTCTTAGAGACCACAAATAACCTTTTTATTTGCTAAAAACTAAAGAGAGTATAGTGAAATTTGCTCAGAATCAAAAAAAAATATTTACTCTTAAAAAAGATAACGAGGAACCAAAAAAGAAAAAGAAAAAAACGAAAAGCCTGCAGCTGCATTTTCTAACTCATTATTCTTTCTGATTGACAACCTAACTACCTAAAAACGAAGAGTCCAAGACTGGTTTGTTAATCATGTAGAGCAGAACAAATAATCCTCGTCCATTTCATTTTTATAATAAATAATGAATATATCAGGGAATCTGTTTTAAATCTTCTTGTGGTCTTTTTTATTGAAACTGATGCTGTTCCTTAAATTGGTGTTGTTACTGGGTAAATACATTGGTGTTGTTATTGGGCAAATACATTTATTATTCATGTGATTAACTTACTTCACGGTAGGGGTGTTTGCGGTCTGGATTGGATTAGTTTTGGAAGCAAAAACCATCTGATCCAATACTTTCGGTTTGATCATTTAATCATCCATTCGATTTGGATTTTTTTTCAAATCCGATCTGATCCAATCCAATTTTTTTCGGTTTGGATTGGATCGCTTTTCGGTTTTTTGAAAATCTTATATTTTGTTTCATGATTATTGTGCAAATAACATCTTTTGTATATATTGACTTTGTAATTTTCTTTTCTTTTTGAAATACAAAAGCGGTAAACGATAATATAGTTTTTTTTTGGCAATGAGATTGAAGCTCTACACAAATGAAATTTTATTGATGAGATGTGATTAGGCTTTTTCTTGGGTGTAGTTGATGGGTTAACATGTCTTGGGTTTAAAATTTTTTAGGCTATGACTGAGGAAAAGCCCAAGTAGGTAAAGGAAAATTAATATATTGGTTCGGTTTGGATTGGATCGGTTTTCATCAGCCCATCCGAAAACCGATCCAATCCAATTAAAATTTGCGGTTTTTTTTCGGTTTTCGGTTTTTCGATTTTTGGTTTATTCGGTTTTCGATTTTTCGGTTCGGTAACCGCGGTTTGAATCGGTTGATGAACACCCTTACTTCACGGTATACAAAAGTGAACACTTTACCAATTGTACCATGTCCTTTTTCTCCTTAACCATTATAATTAGTATTTTTTAAAATAATAATATTAAAAATAATAATTACGTGTAATAATTAACAAACAATTTAAGAGAAGCTTATGCAGCCACTTAAAAAATATTGTAAAATACATTTTTTAACTTATCATATAATGCATCTTGTTGACCATTGCAATTCTTTATGAATTATGACAGTGTCAAATCTGGCAATCGCAAAAACATTCTACGATTTTTTTTTTCTAAATATCAACTAGGGTTTCAAATTCTAATGAATCCGATTAATTTGATTTTAGATTTGTATTTTTCTTCATGACTTCTTATTGATAGCATTTTGGATTGGAGAGATTAAGGAAACAAGAAAAAATAGAGGTGTTCGTGGTCTGGATTGGATTGGTTTTGGAAGCAAAAATCATCTGATCTAATCCTTTCGGTTTGATCATGTAATTATCTATTCGGTTTGAATTTTTTTTCAAATCCGATCCAATCCAATTTTTTTCAATTTGGATTGTGTTCAGACCTAGAGAACCGTATTGCTATATAGTATGGTATGTGCTCAAAGATACCCCTAGAGATAGGTATCCAGATTGGCTTATAGCCAATACTCCACTCACTGCGCACAAGCAATAGGCTTATAGCCAACACGTGGGTGTGTGCACAGTGTTGGCAGCAATAGTAAATAGGTCAAAAGTGTGTACCTGGGATCTTTAACCTTTTATTTATAAGGGTTATCTCTTGGGCTTGTATACATCTCTGATAAGTCTTCAATTTACTATGTATTAAGTGTCAATATGAGCATGAAATTGATTTAAAAGTAATTAAAAATTATGAGAATTATAATTAAATTGTTATTTTATTCTCAATAATATTCTCATAGAGATTTCTGATATTTTGCAGTAATTTCAGCTCAATAAAGAGATAAATCGGAGATATCAAGTAAAGTTGTTTTGGATTTCTGAATCATTCAAGATCTTATCAAATTTTTGTTGAATATTTTTAAGGAAAATTTTCCATTAAATTAAAAAGAGGAAGATTTGAAGGATTTGGTCAAAGATATGATTAGAAGATTTGAAGGATTTGATCAAATATATGATTAAAGATTATAGTGAAGATTTCATTGAAGATATTATGAAAAATCAAAGATATGGTTTTCATCCCTATAAAAAGGCATCTCTTGGAAACTCAAAAACACAATTCGACAGAGGCAAGCAGATTCAGAGAAACTGAAGACTAAAGATTTCTTCATCTTTTTCTCTTCTTTCTTTGTTATGAATTCTTTTATTTTAATTTGTTTAAGCCAGCTATGTCTGGCTAGTTTGTTTTTGTAGTTGGGATCACGGACCTGATGTGAATCCTTTATATTTTCTGTATTGATATTTTATAAGTTAATTAGTTAGTTTGTTTTATTCTACTTGTGTTAATTTTTCCATTTCCTGTTTAGAATTGTCCACTCTAAATTATAGGGCTTTGAGAGTTAGAATTCACAATAGACATATTGGGGTTTTAATCTGGACAAGGGTAGAATAACAACTTGTGTATGATCTAGACATAGGCTTACATAAATTGCAGACTCATAATTCATTTGTTTAATGCTTAATTCAAGAGGGATTACTAAGACATTAGAATTCTGATTGGGTTAAAGGGTTGAAATCACTAAGACATTAGGGTTCAACTATTTTATAAAGAAATAATGAATTGTCTGACCAAACGAATTAATTAATTATAAAATATAATATAAGAATATAAGAGAGGATCGGAGGTGAAGTGCATCCTGGCTACAGCCTTTTTATAAATTTTTCATCAATATTTTCTCGCGTTCTTGATCTTTTCTTGCATGCGTTGGAAATTAAATGCTTTTAATTTTCTGTTTTAAATTTAATTATTTTTAAATTCTGTTCTGAAATTCCAAAATCAATTACTTTCACAACTCAACCAATTTTATTTTCCAACTTAAGGGGAATAGTTAAACTAGTACTTGGTGCATTAATCCTCGTGGAAACGATACTCTACTTATCACTTTATTACTTGAAACGAATGGTATACTTGCCGATTTTGCAACAAGTTTTTGGCTTGTGTAGATCTCCTAGTTGTAGTAGGATTCAACTTCCTTTCTGTTGGGATAGGGACTCTATCCTTAGCAGCCTTACTGTTTTATATTGTTAGGATCATTGGTAATTATCCTTTAAGGGATCCTTCGGTAGGTGGTTAGGATATGAAAATATTCCATAACATTTGCCCCCAACCCGGCAGTTCGGAAGCTCGAACTGCTGGGGTGCCTAAGTCTGATTGATAGGTTAACCCTACCGAGGCACTATGATCCTGTCTTGGGTTTGATGCGACTACCTCTTCTTGATTTGGCTTTTTATATTGGTTTATTTTCTCTTGAAGTCTATGAGTGGTGAGGCGGTGTTTGCTGTAACACCCCGTATGCATCTGGTTTGTTAACATTACATCATATTAAGCTGCGCTTAATAAAAATTGCGGAATATCTTTTTCTTTTCCAATTATGACATCATATACTTAGCCAAGTTGATTACTTAATCAATTTCATAAAAACATCGCCTGTATGTAAATTGCAATAAGACATCTACTGATATACCCCAATATATAAAATCACGTATCTACAACTCG